CTTTACTCACGCGTACCGGATCGCCTACTTTGAATCTTGCCGGTGCCGCAATCTTTACGTTGCTGTATACCGTATTTAAAAGTTTATCGGCGATCACGAGGGTAACATCGATAGGTCTCATACCGATAATGCGATGTTTTCGCGCATTGTACTCTCCAACGAGCCGGGACAACGCGTCGAGCTGTTCAATACCCGTTCGATAGTCGTTCAATAGCCGTTCGATAGTGGTATACATATTATAATAATATATTATTCATATTCCTCGCCCATCGGTTAGGACGCGGTCCCCCTCCCCCTCTCTGCGGGTTCCTCGCCCATCGGTTAGGACGCGGTCCCCCTCCCCCTCTCTGCGGGTTCCTCGCCCATCGGTTAGGACGCGGTCCCCCTCCCCCTCTCCGCAGACCCCTCGCCCATCGGTTAGGACGCGATTCCCCCGCGTAACGTCATACCCCCCGCGCCGGTTTCCCCTCGCCCCTCACCCTCCCTCAGAGGACCATGGCTTAGAACCGGCCTATACAGGGTGAGTTTTTTAACTTGAAACTGTAAAATATCTCGGAAAGTAAGCTTTAGTGAATAAAATGTTTCAAACAAAAGTTTTAGGGTTCGGAGGGGGCCACATGATAAAAATATGGATTTGACCTTGAGTGAACGAATAATTGTTTAAAAAAATACATTATAAATGATTACATACTTTTTCTTAAAAACAATTTTTTTTTTTTTTATTAATTGATTTGTCTCATTATTCTGTACATAAAAGTGTTACGGTAAGATTATTGAAAACTAAATATTTTACGAGATATTTTATCTTTTATATCAAAATATGTCAGATTAAAATATAAAATAACTCAAAAAGTACTTAATGAAAAAATACTTTATTATAGTGTGTTGAAAAGCTATCGAGATGAGCTACAAGAATATGTAATAAAAAAAGTGGGGTTCCATTTAAGAAAACATCGATCACATTGATCTCACCTTGAAAAGGTCACTCAAGGTCAAATCCATATTTTTATCATGTGGCCCCTTCCGAACCCTACAACTTTTGTTTGAAACATTTTTGTCGATAAAGCTTACTTTCCGAAATATTTTACAGTTTCAAGTTAAAAAACTCACTCTGTATACCCTACTCGCGTTTCAATATTCACCGCCAGTACTGAAAATCTATAGTTTACGTCACGTACACTATAGATTTTCAGTACTGACAATGAATATCGACACGCAACCTTTGTTGGCAAGAGTCGAAAGAGTGATGATAAAAAAAGATGAAGGAGAGGACTAAGAGCGACGCGATTTCTGCAATTTCGCGAAAAAAATCTAAGGTTAATTATTAACATCCTTTTAAACAATGACTATACTCTTAATTTTGTTTTCATGACCATTCACAACAGGATTAAAATGCAAATTTTTAGAAATGAGGGTTCTCCCTCTTCCTCCAGTTCCTTTTCTCCTCATCCTTCTTTTTTATCGTTCCCTATGTAATGGACATCACAGAAAGATGGCTTCCTTTAACCAGAGGCATAAACAGACTCAATAAAATCCTCCGAATACATAAGGATCCTCTCCCACTTGAAAATCATAATAATGTGGTTTATAAGATTTTTTGTTAGTCTTGCGATGCTTCTTATATGGAACAAACCAGCAGACAATTATTAACAAGAATCAAAGAACATCGCCTATATTAATAGAGTTTCGTCCATCCACTCTGTAATTACTAACCACCGTCTTACAGGGCATAAATTTAATTGGAAAAATGGAATAAAGTTCCGAAAAGGATCTACCTCTGATTTCGATGAAACTGTAAAATGCTTCTTTTCATATTAAAATGAAAGCCTCTAAAGGGAATTTCGGACTCCTATAAGAAAATCATTTTTTAAGAGAAAATGATAAAAAATATAATAATTGTGGTAATCATTTACATTAGCAGACACTTCTCCGATAACCTTGACCTCCACATATGTTATAAGGGTGAGGTTGCTGATTAATATGCACTACGAGGGAAGGGAATTCCTCTCTCTCCCACACGTAAAACTCATAACTATTTGTATTTTTATAATCTCGATAAAAAATCACTATGTTATTATTAATCTTCACTATTACTAAAATTACTACATTTTTATGCGAAAAACTGCAAACCCATGCACAACCGTATAATTGTATATTTCGTTTTGTATCCAAAGTACAGAGCGATATGGAATGGACCTCGCTTCGCGCAGAAAGTTGCAAACCCATGTGTAATGTATAATTATAAACCTCATTTCGTGTGCAAAGCGCAGGGCGATATGGGATTTCGCTTCGCGCAGGACGTTGCAAACCCATATAAAATCGTATAACTCGGTAAACCTTTTGGGGATATTGTTATTTCCGGGACCTCTTAATTTGATAGGTATATTGGATACATTTTTTACCGAGAAAAAGAATGCCGCAAGCCGCAATGCTCTACGATCAATAATTATCGAGATATTGATTTTTAAAAGTCGTAATAAGTCAAAACTCTAGAGAAAGCCCCAATAACCCTGATCTTGATATATGTTGTCAAGATCATCGTCCTAAATGATCCTGACCTGAAAAAATGGTGTCACGATCCGTTCAAAAGTTATGAAGCATTAAAATTTCCGTTTTGTACAATACGAAAGCACGATACAATTTGGGTTATATAACGTAACCCAAACCAAATTTTAGTTTTAAATCAGAAATAGGTTTGGGTTAGGTTAGGTTAGGTTATATGTTCCGGAAATGGAGCCCACCCATAGGGCGGGGGGGGGGACGGGACCCACTGTGTCCGTGCATATACTTTACAACGCGAAGCGAGGTACGCCCCACAATTGTTGTGTGGATGGGAAAGTGTATATGCGTGGACATAGTGGGTTCCGCACCTCCTACGGGGGGAGGCTCCACTTCCGGAAGATATAATAGGGAAAGCGGAACCCACTGTGTCCACGCATATACTTTACAACGCAAAGCGAGGTCCACCCCATAATTGTTGTGTGAATGGGAAAGTATATACGTGGACGCAGTGTGTCCCTCCCCCTTTACGGGGAGGCTCCACTTCCGGAAGATATAACCTAATCCAAACCAATTTTTTAATGTAAATAATTACCAAATTTGGTATGAGTTACGTTGTATAACCCAAACCAAATTTTCGTTTCGAATCAAACTTTAACTGTAAATATCTCAGAAATTATAAGAGATTGCCGATTAAGCTATAAGAAAAAGTTACCCAGGGTCGTGTCCTTGACAATATATGTCAAGGTCAAGATCATTGGCGAGGTGTCCGTTAATGTAAATAATTACCGAAAGGTCTAATGTGTGCGTGGTGAGTCTGGTGCGAGCATCTGAACTATGCTAATTAATTATTTGTTTCATCGACAACTTATATTCTAAGCGTTCTAAGATCAAATTCATTTTTTCGCATTGCGTTTTATCTTTGTATTGATTTGCCTCGAATCGTTGTCATGTACTTACGTTTTTTTGTTAGTTCTTTTTAATTTTATTTGTCATCATTGAGAAGGATCCGAAATGGGTCGAAACGTATGAATAAACTTATAATATATTGTTAATGTACATTCTATGAAGTACAAACTTGTTTTTTACGTTCTAAGAATCGCGTCTGGACTCCAACTGGTCTTCCTTTGCATTTTTTTCTGATTTTATCAATAGAGTCCTGCTAATACATTTTAATTTTTATTGCGTTATTATAAATTAAACACCGGGAATTCTTATATTTTTTTAATCATATGTTCTTACAAGGAGAGGTCGCAGCTGACTCTTCACTGATTTTGATATCCCTTTGTGATGAATCTTCATTAAATATAGTTTAGCCCTGTGAGAGCTTTTCGTCCAATGCGCCTTCTAAGTAGTATCTTTTTATACTCGAAATTTGGAGAAATTTTAATGTAGGTTGTAAAGCATAAAGAAAGACACCTTATCGAACAGTGCCGAATGACGTAGGGAGTAAGCGCGAGAACAGTAATAGCGAGAACCCAATTCAAAACCTACGCTGTCATCATTTTTTTTTATTATTTTATATGCATATGTAATATGCATTATTTACTACATAGAAATAAATAGTTGGCATATATTAGATACGCATATATCTTCTTATATATTTGCCTACATAAAATTACTGTGAAATAAATGAAATATTTTTACAGAGGAATGTTAATACTTCTATTTTTAAAGATTTTTATATTTTTTAAAATTTTCTTGAATAATGTAATAATAATAATAATAAGAATAATAATAAATAACTATATTATTAAATTACAAGTAATAAAAGCTCCACAAGATAAAAAACAAACAAAGAGACAGGCAATGAAAGCCAGGCGTAGGTTATCGGGCGCAAAGAAATTAGTGTTAATTAGTATTAAAATTATAAATAGATATAAAAATAAAAATACTGTGAGCGTACGTTTCGGCTCGTTTTTGGGCTGTCTTCAGCGCAAGTTAAAAGTATAATTAAATTATCGCAATCGGACAAATTATAACATAATAAGGTCGCAAAGATTTTCGTTCATCAAAATGTGATTGTACTGCAAGTGCATTTATAAAGGTGCGTACTGACTTGAGCATTTTTGCGCACACGAATGCTCTAGTGAGGGCGTATCATCTTTGTTTCGCCGCACGCTCTGATCACGCACGAACGCAATCCGTCGTTTGTCGCTCATCAAAGAATTTATGTGCGAAACGATGCTCAATTTGGACGTGTATGCGAAACTGAAACGTCGTGCGCGCAAAAAAAGTTATGGAGTGGACGAATGAAATTGCTCTCCAATTAATAGATGAATACGAAAAGTTTCCCCTATTGTGGGATGCTAAACACGAGTTCCATTTTTCAAGAAATAAGAAGGTTGATGCTTGGGAGATAATAGCAAATAACTTGAAAATGGACGCAGTTATAGCAAAACAAAAAATGGCCAGTTTACTGGGATCCTTTCGTAGAGAAAAGGCAAAGGGTAAAAAAAGTATTGGAACAGGAAAAGGTATTTATTTTTTTATCAGTTCCAGTTAATTGCTATAAATATCTGATGAGAATAAAATCATAAATTAATTTTTTCCAGCTCGTAAAAGCATATATGTTTCAAAATGGTTTGCTTTTGAAAGAATGCATTATTTATTAGATAAGGATGAACCCCGAACTACAATTGATACAGAGAACGTAAGTACATAAGATAATTTTTAAGATAATTTTTAAGCACTTTCATCTTGCCAATCCAAGCATCCATTCGTAATGAAATATTCTTTAAATCCGTCTCGAATTTCTTTGGCGTTTAGTGTTGATCTTCGCGGGACGTTTCTAATTGGAATTAACGAAGTCATTTGTTTGTCTTGTCTCCAGTTACCTCCTACTAACACTCCATTTTGTTCTGAATCGAAGCTTGTAGGAGGAGTGTATATGGTTCGAGAAGTATTGCTCCTTCTTAAAAAATTATGAAGACAAATCACCGTCTCTATTACGATTAACTCCGCTTTTTCTGGTTCCAATAACATTGGTTTTCGTAATACTCTAAACACCGCTGAAAAAATTCCAAATACATTTTCAACTACCCTTCGTGCTCTGCTGAGTCGATAGTTAAAAATCCTTTCAGCCGATTCTTTACGATGTGTACCTGAGAATGGCTTCATCAAATTTTCGCCCAAAGCAAATGCCTCGTCACCAAGAAATACATATGGTATTTTCTTGCTTTTTTCTGGCAAATTCGATTCTATTGGCAAACCTAACCTATTTGTAACTAGTTTGTTCGATAATTTGCAATTTTTAAAAACTCCTCCGTCAGAAATTCTGCCCTGACATCCAATATCGGCGTATATAAAATTATAATGAGCGTCAACTACAGCAAAGAGGACAATGCTGAAAGCTGATTTATAATTAAAGTAATCGCTTCCACTGTGTATGGGTGATGAAAATATACAAGATCAGTCTCAAAATGAATCAACAGTAGTTGAAAATGAACTATTTACTCCTCCAGTGCCTTCAAGGCAAAAGAAGAAAAAAATCTGTGATAAGAAGAACGACGCAAAACTAGAAGAAGCATTTCAAATTCTTAAAGAATCGGCTACAATGAAAGAAATACCACCTGACAGTTGTGCCATATATTCACAACATGTAGCCAACAAACTGAGAAGCTATAGCAATAAGACGCGGGCACAAGTTGAGCATGCTATAAACAATATTTTGTTTGAAGCTGACATAGGAAGATACGATTCTAATTACTCTATTACTAATTATCCTCCCATACATTTTTTGGTGATCATCATACTACACCCAGTCCACTTTCGTCTCCAACATTTTCCAATTCGAGCACAACCAGTTCAATTTCCAACTGCCCTACACCTATGCCGAAATACAATATGCATCAAAATAACGACCTCCAACACTTGTGAATGTTTTTTTTTTAAATTAGCTTTTCTCTTAACTGATAATTTTAACAAATATAATTTTTGCTCTTCGTCTATTCTTAAATTAGCATCGGCGGATATTGAAGTGTAAACTTGAAAAAATAAATAAATATCTGTCAATATTCTTACTTTTATGTTTTTTTTCAAGACTTCGATAAGCGCTTGACAAACTTCAGGAACAATTGTGGATATTAATTGTTTTGAAACTTTGAACAGATACTGCATACTTGTGTATGGGTCTCCCGTTGCTAAAAAACGTAGTGTTATGGCTAATCTTTCTGTAACAGTGACAGCTTTTCTCATTGCAGTGTCCATTTTATTTATTTTTGGACCGATCGCATTCAATAAAAATTCGAAATCTTGCGATGACATGCGAACAAAATTGTGAAAATGTAAACTGTTTTCTTGCAGCTTTAAATCAGCTAGCAAGTTATGGCCACCATACATTTTCCTGTTGTTATATAGCTGTGTAATCCACCATCATGTTGAATTTTTTTTTGCAGACCTTTTCTGCACAATATTGTATATTACAATATATGCTGCAGCTGCTATGGTTATGTCTCTTCTCGACGACATTTCGCTATTTATTGATTTACGGCGAACGACTGGAGCACAGTTTTGTATGAACGAATAAAAATTTTTGATATCAAAAAAATTTACCCGTACGAACGTTCGTGCGGATAAATCGTTCGTGCGCGCAAAAATGCTCAAGTCAGTACGCACCTAAGATGTGCTGTATGCAGAAAATATTTATGTTTTTTATGTTTTTATAATTCATATCATCCGACTCAATGTATAAAATAAATGTAAACATTCTCATTCGATAATCCTAAGGCAGCTAGAGAATTCGAATGATAGTCTTTATGAAACGTGTGTGTATCCCAAAATTATTAGTTATTTATTAGTGAGAGACAGCATTTTTAACAATTTGTTTTCCTTCATATTTTCATAGTTCTTCGTATTTATTTATTTTTTTTATTCACTGATGTCATATTTATTTATTTTTTTGGTAAATATGCATATTAGGTTACACCTCACCGATGACTTTGTAACCTAACCCAAACCTATTTCTGATTTAAAACTAAAATTTGGTTTGGGTTAGGTTATATCTTCCGGAAGTGAAGCCCCCCCCGTAAGGGGGGCGGAACCCACTGTGTGCATGCGTATACTTTACAAAGCAAAGCGAAGTCCGCCCCACAATTGTTGTGTGGATGAGAAAGTATATGCGTGGACGCAGTGAGCTCCACTATAAAAAAACTAGACACAGGTTTGCGTTGAACCTCGCTTTGCGTGGAAAGTAAAAAAACCCAAAGAGCTTCATCTCTGGAAATGTAAAGAAACACTTTTTCCAGATCCTTTCCAGGTCTGATCTACGTAAATACAATGTAAACAACCTTTATTTTTAATAGAGAAGTCATTAAAATTGTGAAATCATAACTTTAAATATCTCAGAAACTATAAGAGACCGCCGGTTAAGTTATAAGGAAAAGTTACTCAGGGTCAAATTCTTGACAACATATGTCAAGGTCAAAGTCATCGGTGAGGTGTAACCTAATATGCATATTTACCAAAGAAATAAATAAATATAACATCAGTGTATAAAAAAATGGTAAATATGCATATTAGCGCCGACCTCACCGATTTCAATGACCTTGACATATGTTGTCAAGGACATGACTCTAAGTAACTTGCAAAAAATTTTAGCCGTCGCTCGTTGTTTATTACAAAGTTATTAACAATTGAAGATAGTTCTACTATCTTCTATTACTACGTAGAAACTACTACGAAGAGGTTCTACATGTGTTTACAACTTTCCACGCGAAGCGAGGTTCAACGCAAACCAATGTGTTTAGTTCTTTGATAGTGGAGCCCCCCCGTAGGGAGGGGCGGGGCGGAACATACTGCTTCTACGCATATACTTTTTAATGAGAAGTGAAATTCCACATGGGTTTATAACTTTTCACGCAAAGAGAGATTCAACTCATGTACAACCCATGTAGAATCTCACTTTGCTTTAAAAAGTGTATGCATGGACACAGTAGATTCCGCCCCCCCCCTACGGGGGGCACCAACAAAAAACTAGACATTTAGGTTCGTGTTGAACCTCGCTTCGCGTGGAAAATTGTAAACCCATGTGAAACCTTTCTTCGCATTAAAAAGTGTATGCATAGTTCCGCCCCTCTACGGGGGGGGCTCCACTTCCGGAAGAAATAACCTAACCCAAAACTATTTCTGATTTAAAACTAAAATTTGATTTGGGTTAAGTTATATCTTCCGGAGCTCCCTCGTAAGGGTTTAAAATCGTATCTCGCTTCGCGTGAAAAGTCATAAACTTAAATTGTTAATAACTTTGTAATAAACAATGAGCGACGGCTAAAATTTTTTGCAAGTTACTTAGAGTCATGTCTTTGACAACATATGTCAAGGTCATTGAAATCGGTGACGTCGGCGCTAATATGCATATTTACCAAAAAATAAAAAAATAAAAAAAGAATGTTGGCAGCGTAGGTTTTGAACCTGGGTTCTCGCTATTACTGTTTTCGCGTTTACTCCCTGCACCATAGGGCACTGTTCGATAAGGTGTCTTTCTTTATGCCTTACAACCTACATTAAAATTTCTCCAAATTTCAAGTATAAAAAAATACTACTTACAAGGCGTATTGGACAAAAAGCTCTTACAGGTCTTAACTATATTCAATGAAGATTCACCACAAAAAAGGAGATCAAAATCGATGAAGAGTCAGCTGCGACCTCTCCTTGTTAGTAATTTCTAAGATCCCGATTTGATAATGATGGGATATCCCTTTGTATAATATCCCTATATCATCCTTATCGGGGCCAGTAGTTTCATGTACTAGCTCTAACAATTTTTGATACGGATTATTTGTCCTGCTTTTATTTTTCTGTTTAAGAGACTATATTTTACGTAATTTAGTTCGACAGATTAAATCAAACACCCTGCATATATGTATAAATATTAAATAATCTATATATCAAGTATATTCTATGTATACATGCCAAACATGGATCCGTTTGTTCTCCTACCGAGGTGCAAGATGAATGTAGGAATATACCCATTAGCCCAGGCAATAAGTAGGCCTTACCTTGCAAAAGGTCAAGGAAAGTTTATACTTGGCATAGTTCTTAAGTTTGGCATATTAATTAATACTCTGAGTTGTTGACCTTGAAACATCGCCGCTCGCGCCGCCATATTGGAAAAATGGAGCGAAAAATCACTTTTTCGCGAATATCTCGTTTCCGGTACGAAATACGTGAAAAATAGTTATTATAAAAAATGTAGAGCATAAAATTCTTTAGATTTTATGTTGAAAACTTTTTTTCTCAGACCAATAGTTTCCGAGATACAATGCGAGAAAGTGGAGTATTTTCTCCAATTTGTCAGAATATTTCACTTTTCTCTGGAAATTTAAGTTGGTTATTAAATATTTTTTTGTTTTTTACTCTTTTCCGTACCACTGTGGAGGTAAAGTAAAAGGCGCGTTTTTTTTAATGTGGTTTCCCCAATAGGCCTAATCCACAATGCACTGTCTCAAGGAATAGAAGATCAGTGTTTTAGACTTTTCGATCTCCTAGATAGACCCGGTTGATCGGGATCGATTGATTCATCCTGAGAATTCTCCTCTTTTTCTTCGATCTCATCTGTCATTTCGATGATGAGAAATTGATTGATTTCAGGAGTTTCTTCGTCTTTATCATCAAAGTCTGAGAGTACTTCTGGGACGTTTTTACACGATACTCCATTACAAAAAACACATATAATAGAACACTTTAAACCCACCTTCCTACATCCGCATGCTCGATCATATCCTTTTTTACATTTACATGAAATGAATTTCAATAGTACTTCAGGAGCTGGGTCTTTCATAGTTGTTATTGGAGTAAGGCCAATTTTACTGCATTTCCATCCCCATTCTTCTGCATTTTTTGATCTGTCGTACCATAATTGAACTTAGTGGTAGGTCCGAAGCGAATGGTATTATGCGGCACCGCTTGTAGGGGGTAGGGACGCTAAGTTAAATTTACTTTTTGTAACAGATTTCGCGAAATATTGATTGCGGAGAGTGTCTAAAGCGATGTTATCACCAAAATCGCTGTAGAGTGCGGTCAAGAATTTTTCGTCAGCGGAGATGATGTCTTTACGATCTGCTGATTTTCATTCTTGAATACTTGGATAATTTCGTTTAATGACTCGTACTTTTTGATCAGTTTTAAAAACTTAATTTTTCCTTGATTGAAAATTGCAGGTGTGGTATCGCAACCACTGAATGCATGCAGGAATAAGATATTGTCCGCTACTATATCCCCATATTGTAAGCTTCGAGGAGAGTATATTTTTTCCACTATTTTTCCTTTGCCGGGTTTTCGAAAATAGACGATTTTATGATGTCTCGCCAGCGCTGTCAAAAGAACTAGAAAATCTATATCTTCCCCTACAACAAAAACAGAATCATGTGATGGAGACATATTGATCGCTGTGTTGATAATTAATGAATCAGCATCTTCCACGGCCTGCGACACTACTATGTTGGATTCATCGAATTTTTTATGTAGCATGGAAATCAAACGAAATTTACTAATTTCGTTAGATAAAAATTTTCTTGGGAAACTGTCGCAATCATCGACTCATCGAAATTTATTTCAACGCAATTTTGCTTTCTTGATCGTCGAAATCTTTCTACACTCTTGGTGCTCTTGTTTGCTGCGTCACTTGGATACCCGTCGAAAACAACGATAGCATTGGTGCCATAGTGCCTCTGTACATACTGAACGTAATTGGTGCAGATCGATGCAAAAGATTGATTTTGATGCCATACGACTCGATGAAGGAGATATCCCCCATCTAAGGCAGTGTTGCCGGCTGAAAAACTAGTTTCTACCTGCTCCGTCCTGCTGCATAAAGGACCTAAAAGAAACACTCTTTTTACTCTATCTTCACGGTGGTGCGGAAAAGAGTGAAAAACAAAAAAATATTTAATAACTAACTTAAATTTCCAGAGAAAAGTGAAATATTCTGACAAATTGGAGAAAATACTCCACTTTCTCGCATTGTATCTCGGAAACTATTGGTCTGAGAAAAAAAAGTTTTCAACATAAAATCTAGAGAATTTTATGCTCTACATTTTTTATAATAACTATTTTTCATGTATCTTGCACCGGAAACGAGATATTCGCGAGAAAGTGATTTTTCGCTCCATTTTTCCAGTATGGCGGCGCGAGCGGCAACGTTTCAAGGTCAACAACTCAGAGTATTAATTAGTATGCCAAACTTAAGAACTATGCCAAGTATAAACTTTCCTTGACCTTTTGCAAGGTAAGGCTCTTTTTATGTCTCTATTGCCTGGGCTACATGGCACCTCCAGCCGATTGCGATCGTTTAGCACTTATCAACATTGATTGTCATTTACCGAAATATACTACGCTGGATTGATAAAGAACAACACATGCATAATC